TCTCGCGTAGTCCTATAGCGGGAAGTGGTGAGCTGGATCACAACATGAAATGTGAAGGCCAAGTTATCGGCAAGAATCCCCCCTCCATCCACCTCTCATTTAAGAAGTATTTATTAAGGGCTCCCCTTGGGCGCTGGCCAGTGACTTTCATTTACTCAGAAGCGGGAGCCCTCGGAAGAGGTGCGAGCCCCCCTCCCTTCCCATCTGGAATTAGATAGGTGGCAGGTTCACTGACACCAACACACACAGTTTGTATTTTCAGTGTGCTGTAGCATCTCACCCTCTGGAGATGTGAATGACTCATGGCACTTGCCAATTTTAATGTTTCTATATTTTCACAGAATTTAAATCAATATTTTCACAGAAATTAAAACATAAAATACAATCGCAGAAATTTAACAGACAACTGTTTTCACTTTTCCATATTTGTTTCCATTTTTTTAGAGCATCTTGGTATTTCGATGGCATTTCAGGTTTGAGGGATTCAAGGACATAGATTCAATCCCGGCAGGGACCGTATAGTGAAAATATTACGGTAACCAGAAGCCTGTCTTTTTTATTGCACGAAGTTTTCACCAAGTCCCTGAGCTCTGGCTAATGATGAAAGAGGGAGCAGACTCGTGTCTCCTGCCAAGCAGAGAGCTCTAGTGGATTCCACTAAACTCCCCAAGACAGCTGGGATGACCATCTACATTCATAAAGTCAAGAGCCAAGAGCCCATTTAACAAATGTCAGGGCAGCCTGAAGAGAGGGACAGAAGGCAGGAAAATGCATTCCTCATCAAGGCGTGCTTAGAAGTCGAGAACTGTTGAGAGGAGAGAGGAATTCCCTTGACTTCTCAGTCAATAAATCGTTGCCCATTTTTTCACACTCTCCTCTCCAGCGGCCACTTTTATCTGCGCCCCTTCCCATTCTCTCTCCCTCTAGCTACATTTATACACTCTTATTAGACCAAAGACTCGATATGAATTTGATGCCTTTTTGCAGATGGCTGCCTCCTCCCTCATGGGGTGAAGAGCAACAAGAGAGGCACACGATCTCCCATCTTCGTATGAAGGCCATGTACCATCGTGGGGGCCCCACCCTCATGACCTACTCACCTCCCAAGGGCCCTACCTCCAAGTGCCAGAGACTGGAGATTAGGGTTTTAACACATGAACTTGGTGGTAGTGGTAGAGGGGTGGGGGATGCAACATGTGGTCCATTGCACGCATGTGTAGTGCTAAAAATGTTGGCATCGTTCTTCCTGGGACACCGAAGTCTATCTGAGATCAAGTTATAAGGGAGATGAACTGTCTCTTTTGTGTCTACCTACTTCTTTTGAGCACGGGCAATCACAAGGACTTCATGGAGAAGGAGGCATTTGAGTTTTTAGGATGAGATTTCTATTTTTGGAGCTAGTGGGGTGGAAATTTCAGATGAAGGGAAAAAAGAATGAACAATTGCTTTTAGACTTACTCAGATTCTTATAGAGGGCTAGAAATCTCAGAGGCTTTTCTCCAAGTAAGTCTTCAGGCAAGTAGATGAGTTTCGGTGTTGTTTTCAAGAGGCCTTTTAGCATTTTTCACAGAGCAGTTAAGCCGGTTGTCTTTGCTACGTAAAATATGATGTCAACAGAGAAAGACCTACTTTTGAGTCTCATGTGGGTCATGTGGCTCTGCCCAGGAGTGCCTCACACCTGCCCCGACTTGGTGACAGACCATGGCTGTCTCAGCGAAAGTGCTTCCTCCCATTGGAAAAAAGAGCCCCTCCCCTCAAAATATTCAAAGCACATTTTCTGCCAAGAGAAGATTTGTAAATTCATCTCCTTCTCTTTCCCTGCTTTCTCTCTTGTCTTCGTCATGAACGCTGCCCTTCAATGGCCAGGGTCCCAGCCTTCTAAATAAACCAGGCTCACCCCTGGCCCATTGCCCAATCTCTCTGGGTGTGGGAGTGAATGGCAGAGAACAATCCTCTCGCAAGGCCGCAGCTGGAATAACCAGTAACAGATGTAGGAATGAATCATCGTGCTCAGGAAGCCTGCCTGCGTCCAGTTGAAAGCATCTGTAAGGACGGCCGGCTTTGTCCACCAGTACACTGGCCCATCGTGTTGTCAAAAGGATCCCTTCCCTAAACGGTCATCTGTTTGCCACAGTGTCTGGAATTTCACTATTAGGTTTGGCAACCGACTCACAAAATGTTACAGCTGGTCAATCAACTCTTAGAAGGAGGACTAGAACTCTTGCCCTGTGGTTTTCCAGTACCTTGCGGGGTATCTCTGTGGGGTGATTGCCCGCACAAATTACTTGTTTGGGACAACAAATTTCATTCAACAGACACTGTACTGAGAGCCTACTCGACATTCAGCTGTGTAGGAGGTACTTTGGGATGGGTGACAGAAACCAGCCCTGCCCTTACCCTCAAGTTAGATCAAAGTCCTGAAATAGCCATACATAAACACCAACGGAGCTTCTAGTTAGGTAAATGTGACAAATATAGCCATATATATATATGTGTATATATATATATATATATATTGGGAAAGAGAGAAAAAGGAAAGGGAGAATCCATCCCCCCCAATTTCAGTCAAGTCTCTGTCAGAGTGCTTTAATTCCCATGAGTTTCTTCTTATAATCTGGAAGAAGTTTTCTTTTAGTTACCCCTGATCACCCAGATCATGGACTTTACATACTTTGGCTGATGTCTCTGATTTATCTCATGTCATATTTAGGTTATGACTTCTCTGGCAATAAGTTATATTCGATCTGAAATATACTTAATCAGGTTGTGCTTTTTTAAAAGCAACATTTATTTTTGCAACTGCTTGGAAAACCACGTGGGACCAAGTTTCTAATAACACAGCACCCTTCCTTTGTGAATTTCAAAGCAAGTTAGAAGATGTTAGCTAAATTTCCAGAAGACATCTTTAAACAGGACCCATACCCATTATGAAACGAGGATTAAAAGGATAATAATGCAAACTACGTAACATTCATTTATTTATTCATGACTCATTCAACAGAGTCACTGAGCACTTACTCTGAACCAGGCACTCTTGTTCCCAGCCGGTAAACAAGACAGGTAAGGTTCAGGTTAGTGTCCTGAGCATATGTATAAGCATCGACTTAAATAGAGAATAATAATAAAAAACTCTTCTCAATGTGGTGGCTTCATAAATAGTCCTTCATACTGTGCAACCCAGGCTATTATCTGGTGGCTTTTCCCACTGCTTCAATATATTATGCTGATAACACTCTTGATAGCAGTATCTTTTCTTGTAGATCTTGTCACATTCATGACATTCCAAAAATATTTTCTTAGGATTTCTGGGCCAGAATATGAAAGGCTATCTCACATTTAAAACAAGTTACTCGCAAGTTATTTCTAGGACTGTGTTCAGAATTATCCAAGTGTTGCTTTAGAGGCAAAGACCGTAAGTAAAAGCTTGAAAGGCAAATTTTTTAAGAGCGGACATTCTCAACTGAGACCTAAAGAGCCTTGTTCAAAACAGCCAGATAGGGGCGCCTGGGTGGTTCAGTCGGTTAGGCGTCTGCCTTCAGCTGGGGTCATGATCCAGGAGTCCTGGGATGGAGCCCCCTGTGGGGGGGGGGGTCTGCTTCTCCCTCTGCCCCTGCCCTCTCTCTCTTAAATAAATATATAAATGAAATTTTTTTTTAAAAAAACCAGCCTGATAGCAAGCAGATGGCTCTGTGTAGTTTTAATTTTTGTGGTCCGGGACATTCTTCAAAACGACAAACCTGGCCCCACTATTGTTGGGATGTTTCTTCTCTGCCTATTGAAAACTTTCTGCCCCTCTTCCGTTTGTTTGCAAACATCGAGCTGCTGAGAGAGTTCTTGTGATTTTTGAGATTCCAGAGTAAATCTTGTCGTTTCGTCTGCGGTTTGTGAGAAAGCCTAAGACCACGCAGTTGGCTTGGGGAAAACCTCTTCCCGTGCGCTGGCAAAACCAAGTCCGGGTGTGCGGGCCGCCGGCCCCTACGCCTGTCCTGCAGATCGTTTAGGGAAAAGCACTGTGAGCCACCCTGCACTTCATTTTACTCCTCTGTCCCTTTAGGAGGAGCGGGACTAATTTTCTGTGCACGGTCCCGACGTTAGTTCTCTCTCCCCACGCTCATCGGGGAAAGGGACAGGACGGGAATGAGGCCGCCGGTGGCTCGGTCCTGAAATCGGGCTTTCTCAGGCGCATCGGAGGGAGAAAAGTTTCCTTTGTCAAACAAGTGACCGCGTGGCGCTATGGCGGTCAGCACCAGCAACCCCGTCAGACCGCCGGGAGCGGACTTGGGGGCGCGCCCGCCACCTCCTGAGCCACCCAAGGGGAACCCTGAAAAGTGGGGGAGCGGATGGAACGCAAGAGAGCGACCAGGACGCGGGAGAGGAGCGTGGACGGTGGGGTTCTCGGCAGTGGGCGGGCTCGGGGGGCGGGATTCCAAGCGTGGGGGGCGCGGAGGGTGGGGTTACCGAGAGTGGGCGGGCTCTGAGTTGGGGGGGAGGGTTCCCGGGAGTGGGCGGGTTCGGGGGCGGGGTTCCCGTGGTTAGGCTCACTCGGTGGGCCGGATTCTCGGGGGTCGGGGTGCGGAGGGCAGGGTCGCGGGAGTACAGGCCGCGGGACTCCCTGGGGTGGGGAGGTTGCGGAGGGCGGGGTACTCGGGGTCGGGGTGCGCCGGGTTCCCGGAGTTGGGCGGGCGCGGAGGGCGGGGTTCCCGGGGTCGGGGTGCGGAGGGCGGAGTTCCCGGGGGTGGGCAGGCCCGGGAGGCAGGGTCCTCGGAGGTGTGGGGGAGGGCGGGGGTGCGGGCACGGAGGGTGATTCCCGGGGCCGTGGGGCGCGGGTCGGGCGGGCGTGGGGGCGGGGCTCGGGGGCGGAAGGGCGCCGCGCTCGGGGGCGGGGTGGGGGCGGGGCTCGCCGGGCGGGGCTTCGGGCTGCCGGGGGCGGAGCGGCGAGGGGAGCGGCGAGGGGAGGGGCGCGGGGAGGGGTGCGGGGAGGGGCGCGGGGAGGGGGAGCGGCGGGCAGGCCGGGCATGGCGTCGATGGCGGCGGCGATCGCGGCCTCGCGCTCGGCGGTCATGAGCGGGAACCGGCCTCTGGACGACCGGGAGCGGAAGCGCTTCACCTACTTCTCGTCGCTGAGCCCCATGGCCAGAAAGATCATGCAGGACAAAGAGAAGATCCGCGAGAAGTACGGGCCCGAGTGGGCGCGGCTGCCGCCCGCGCAGCAGGACGAGATCATCGACCGGTGCCTGGTGGGGCCGGGCGCCCCCGCGCCCCGCGCCCCCGGGGACTCGGGGGACTCCGAGGAGCTGGCGCGCTTCCCCGGCCTGCGCGGGCCCACGGGCCAGAAGGTGGTGCGCTTCGGGGACGAGGTAAGTGCGGGCGCGGCCGGCGACTCTCACCTCCCCGCGCCCCGAGGCGGCCCGGCCGGGTGGCCCCTGCTCGCGTGTAGTCGCCCCCGCCGCTCGCGGGGTGTAGAGGCTGGGAAGGAGAAGGCGCGGGGATGAGAGTGGGCGGGAGGGGCGTCCCGGGGCCGCCGCCGCGGGGCTAGGGGCTCCCCAGAGGGAGTTTGAGAATCGCCGTGAGGAGGAGGTCTTTAAAGACCCTCCATCTAGAGCTGCTCCGTTGCGCCGCACCGGAGCCAGAGAGTTCCCCCGCCGCTGAAGGCGGCTGCCCTCAAGCGAGGCCGAGCGGGGTGGAAACCGCAAGGGATTTTAAGCCAGCCAAGCCTAAATTCTAATCCACTCTGCCCCTTAGCTGTACGGCCACGGGTGACTTAACCTCTTAGAGCCTAAGTTTCTCTCCCGGCCCCTCTCCCCCGTCCCGGTGTAAACCGGAGATAATACTTCTCACCCCGTGCCTGCCCGGGAAGGCACTCAGAAAATTCTATGTATTAATAGTAATATTTGTGATGAACTGTATGGGACCAGTGAAATTGTCAAGAGAGAAGGAAGAGGTGTCTTCCAAGGTTAGGATGTTTCCCTAAGATGTTTTCCAGGTGAGCACGATGTGCAGCTTTGGTTTGGGGGTGAGCATGGAGCCCCGTTTTTCCATCAAAAAACTAATGGATGAATTTAAATGGGCGCCAGCACGCCTTTGCTACATATAAGGGCATGTCTGGATCTCTGATCTAGACGCCGTGCCCACACTTCTAGAGGGGAGAAACGCTGGAACTCTACAAGAAAAAACTCAGGGATGTCCCCTTATAAGTCACAAAGCCCTGAGTGTTCAGTACTGCTCAGAAACTTGGTCCTTTTCTCTTTTTTTGTTTCCCTGACACCCATTTGGTGCCATTAGAATCTGGTCTTTCACGCTTAACTTTCACTGTTGAAAGGGCAAAGTCAAAAGGAGCAAGAAGTCTACAGATGAAGTATACAGATGAAGGCTGCCCTCTGTTAACCCTGGGAGCCTGCAGGAGGGAGCTGGGCTTGGCGAGTTTTTCCCAGGGTCTTGTGGATTGTGGAAGGGATTCTAGTTAACCCTGAGTTTTTAAAGCTGATTTTCAGGCTTGGGTGTGCTGACACATTTATTAATACACAATGTTTGTGGTCATAAACCCACTTAAATGTGAGGGGTGTGTGAAGGACAGAAATATGCTGCCAACATCACCTTATTCTGACAGAATTCAAAGAAAAGTCTCTATTGGACTTTAAACTCTGAAGGCTCCGCCAGGAAAAACAAGGGTGTGGTAAACCAGGGGTGGTGGGGATGAAAATATAGGTTCAAAATGTACTTAAGAGCCAAAGCATTTTCAGTGTGAAAATCCGCATCTGTATAAAGACATTTGCACTGTTTGTGCTCAGATTTGGGTGCTGAAAAAGCAAGCAGTTCCTCTTTGGAAAAGTCATGAGTAAGTAAATGGGAGAGGAAGTAAACCTGTAAGTACTTACAGATGTTGGAGAGTGACTGTCATTTTTCCTTAGCTTGGTGTCCAGCTAAGAATATCCACATGCCTGCTCATCATCAGAAAGCTCTTGCCATATAAGGGCTCAGTATCACTGATAAGGAAAGATGTGGCCAAGTTAATTTTGTACTCAAATTCCTGAACTGGGTGCCAGACTGAGCTGTTTCTGGATCTGTAAGTCTGATGTGATTTAAAAGCAAATGGGACTCTTCACCTGCGGTACCTGCATGCCGTTCCAGGAGCAGACCAGCCCCGTTTTTCAGAACTGAACTCAGCTTTCCAAGAGGGCTGAGAGCATGTCTTGGGGTGCCTCTGGCCAACTTTAGCACAGATGGCAGAGAGGGGCCGAGGGCACTGCATTCGGGGAGAGGTACTTAGGAACATGGCCCGTGGTCTGTTTTTGCCTGAAGTGGCTGTGTGGTTTAATGGCATGAGGGAGTTTAAAATGCATTGCCCCAGACCTGGCAAGAGGTGGCACTGGAGTAGTTGGTGATCTCGTGCCCAGGGCTGTTCATGGAGGAGGGCTCGCTTCTGGACACAAGGTGATGGGTAAGGGCAGGGTGGGGGGTGACCCCCAGCGAGGCTGCTGGACAGAGTGACCCAGATAGGTGGCCCAGGTTTGTCCAAAAGGGCCCTAAGCCAGATGGAGTAGGGCCCTCTGTCCCTTCCTATGAGATCTGTCTTCTGATGTCCCAGGGGCCTCCACTGCCAATCATGGCATGGAGAATGCTCTCTGGGGGCCCTCCAGCTTGCCCACCCCCAGCAGCTACAGACAGACAGACCTCTGACGCCTGGGTGCTTCGGGTGAATCAGCTGTCTCTGGAGCCACTGTCTGATTCTAGAGGACGAGCAGGCGGCAGCCTCTTAAGTACTTCCAAGAAAGACCACCCCGTATCCTGGATCCTGAGGGCCTTTCCTAAGGCTATAGTAGGAGGAACCTGGGCTCTGTAGTCGCTCTTGGGTTTGAGTTTTGGCTCTGCCATCTACTGGCCTTTCGGCTGTGGCTAAATCACAAACCGCTCTGAGCTTCGGTTTTCTGGCCTCTGCGATGGGAATAGCATTAACAGGCTGCTGGTCGAGGGGCGCCTGGGTGGCTCAGTTGTTAAGCGTCTGCCTTCGGCTCAGGCCATGGTCCCATGGTCCCAGGGTCCTGGGATCAAGCCCCGCATCGGGCTCCCTGCTTGGCGGGAAGCCTGCTTCTCCCTCTCCCACTTCCCCTGTTCGTGTTCCTTCTCTCGCTGTCTCTCTCCCTCTCTCTGTCAAATAAATAAATAAAATCTTTAAAAAAAACCCAAAAAACAAAAAAAATAGGACACTGGTTGAGATCACATCCATGAGGGGCCTATGGGCTTAAAAGACGGTTATAGCCACTCCGGGTTAAGAATACCATTGACCCTTGAACAACACGGGTTTGAAGTGCACGAGTCCACTTATATGCAGATTTTTGGGGTGAGATATTGTACTGTCAATGTGTTTTCTCTTCCTTATGATTTTCTTTATAACATCTTCTTTTCTCTTGCTTACTTTATTGTAAGAATACAGTGAATACACATAACATACAAAATATGTGTTAATTGATTGCTTATCTTACTGGTAAGGCTTCTGGTCGACAGTAAGCTGTCAGTAAAGTTTCTGGGGAGCCCGAAGTGACATGTGGATTTTCAAGTGCACAGGTGTCCCTAACCCCTGTGTCATTCAGGCGTCAAGTGCGTTATAAACTAATCTCTTCGTTTCCACTTGCAAAAATCATGATCATGAAATAAATACATTTCTGCTGTTGCTAAGCCTGGAGTTGGCCCGTCAGAGTTGTCCACGTGAGAAGGAACTCTGTCCTGGTGGCCTCTGGTGATGTGCCTTGGGGCACGTATTTGAAGCTTCGGTTTGTTCTGTCCACATTGTGGCCATGATGTGGCCTGTCTCCAGATCAGCAGTCTCATCAGCCTCAGATTATGTCCCCCCCCCCGCCCCTTCAGCTACCCTGAAGGACAAGGACATCACTGTTTCTTTGAATACCCTCTCCCCCATCACCAGTAACATTTTTGTATCCCACATTTTAAGTCAGATCATGAAAATATAGCCTCCAAATGTGACCAGCATTTAGTCGTTCTTACGTGTTAAGGAACAAATAAGTAGAAACCTGATTGCATGTTGATGCTCATCCATCTTGTTGGCCATGAGCGTGGTCAGGGCTCCGTTCGCACATCACACTTGCCTCTGGTGGGACCGCTCTGCGTAGACAGGTGCGACATTGTGGCATCAGTGTTCATTTGTACCCTCGCTGTCTGTACAGCCAGAAGATCAAGGCGAAAAGATCAGACCCCCCCCCCTTGCTGGGATGACCAGCCTGGTGTGGAGGGAGACTGGCTTCCTTTGTACCATGAAGCCACAAGAGGACCTGTCCGTTTTCGGTTTTTACTTCCTTGGGAATCAATTCAGCGAATATCTCTCAAAGCCTATTACATTAGAAACTAGAGGCCTCCTAGCTTTAGGGCTACCTAGGCTGTCATAATCGTCACCAGCTCCTTTAATAATCACTGCCCCCCCATGAACATATGATCTTATTACAGATTCAACACAAGGCCACCAACCCCTCCTGCCCCCCATCATGTCCCCAAGCAACTCCTATGCAGAGAATCTGGAGCAGCTGCTGATGGAATATTTCTCTCTTAGTGAAAGAAGAGGAGCACCTGGGGTCCCCAGACCTGGCCTCCATTCCTGGCTGTGCCACCAGCAAGGCGCCACCTGCTCAGGGCGTAGGTCTCCCTCCGTGAAATGAGTGGCCCAGGAGGTTTCTCTGGTATTTGGTATGAACATGGAGGCATGTTTGCAAACAGATGCCTTTAGCGGTCTGAATTTCCCTGCCTTCTTCCTTCAGCAGTAAAGGTTTGGGAATGGCCTGCTCTGGGAGATGAGAGATTTTCTTTCTTTTTTTTTTTTTAATTAATTATTATTATCTTTTTTGAGATTTTCATTTTAGAAGGTTTTAGAGATCACTCCGTCTGCTTCTGCTGCTACCTGTTACCAAATAGGAAAAAAACCAACAACCCAAAGCTGAATTTTTAGGGATGTGTTACAGGCCATAAGCAGGTATCCCCAGAAATTCGGTGTGTTTACTTCTTACGGACCCACGCATCTCTCCCACCTCCCATAAAGTAGGTGAAGCTGGGCAGGAAGGGGGTTGCCATGTGCCATATGCCAGCCCCCAGGGACCCTGATCCGGATCTGGCATGCCACAGAACACGGAGTTTTTGGGCCTTGGAGCCAGACAGCTCCGCCCCCTCTTCAACAGCTTAGCATGACCAGCTGCTGTCGGAAGGCAGTGTCCCTCCTCAGGCGCCCTCCGCCTGCTGCAGGGATCTGGGGGCTGGCTGGCTGCCCCCTTGCTCCTCTCTACCTTCACCTCCTCCTCTGGGGCTGAGCCTCGGCCTCCCTGACTCCCCGACACCCTCTGCATGGCCTGAAGCCGGC